CCCCAAAACCCCAAAACCCCAAAACCCCATAGAGGTATATTACTTCAGAAGATCCCTAATTAAAAATATACCAAGAAAATTCTAATAAATATTACATTATCATTATTTATGAGCAGTTTTTTCTCACAAAATTTAGAATGATTATAGGTACTATTCATTTAACCAAGGGTGTCCAATCACCTGGTCAATACTCAAACGTTACTCTGGATTCACACATAGCATACTCTATAAAAGATCTAGGGCAGAATCAGAAACTAAGCTCCATCTAGTATCATTTTTAGTGTACTCTCCATTTATAATTGCATCTGACAATTGCTATTAACTACAAATACAGATTAAAACTAACTATCAACGATATGATAACTTACTCTTTATGTGGGAATGGAATTTATCCAAATAACATCAGATAAAAAGCGCAACCAGTGCCCCAAATGTCGATTACCTCACTAAAATAAATGAGATAAAGCGGTATTACTTATATGAACTGCCCTTCTAGATTTCAGGTGATGAAAATGCCGCTGCGCCGGTGTTAGTCATCATCAACAGTTTTTATTGTGTTTCTTGATCCTTGAACCTCCTTGCCACGTTGAAATCTATAACTGTAACTCTCGGCTCGTTTTCAAAGTTTTCATGATTGATTATTATATTTCCAGGATTGAGATCTCTATGGCAAACTGAGATTTTATCTGAGTGAAGGTATTTAATAACATTAACGATTTTTACTAATATTATTTTACATAGGTCCTCTGGTAATCCGCCTGCACCTTTATAATCTCTATGTTTTAATTTATAGAGCTTTATATAATTTTTCAGGGTGTAACCTTCTACAAAATCCATAACAAAATACAAAGTCTCTCTCTATTTATTATAATAAGCCTCCTTCATTTTGACTATATTAGGATGGCTAAGTTATTATAGTAAATGGAATTCCTTAATAGCAATTTATTAGTATTCCTCATCCCTATTTCTGATAACTTTTACTGCAAATTTACGTATATCTCTTTATTCTGATGATACCTATTTTTCTTCTTCTTTTTCATTTCCATCTTCTACTTTCCTCTCTTATTTTCTAGCTGCACAGGCAGCTTTAAACCCATTTGAAAATTGTGATTTTTTAGAAGTAAAATGACTGTGGCTAGGAATATTTAATGTAATTTATATTGGCGACAAATCTTTGTATATATTTTCATCTTCACTTGAAAATTCATCTACTTCTTTGAGTTATACATTTGTTAAGTTTTTAGTTAGCAAGGTTTTTCTTTTTTATGAGGTTATAAGTTCTTCTGAGACTCGATCAACTTGTGTAGATGATTTATAATATGAATCTCTCCTTTAATTTATATCATTCTCACTTTGAGTTTAATCTAATTCAGGTTGCTCTAGTTAATCACTCGAATTTTAAATAGAATCCTCAATATTATTTTTAGGAGAGATTGATGTCTTGAGCTGGCATAATTTCACAACTGATGAGCATCCCTAATCTGTTTAACAAATATGAATTTACTTAGCCGAGTATAGTATCTAGCATCTCAAATCTCTCCTCAAATGTCGGATGGCTATCAAACTAACGATTCTCTTCATCATTGTTTAGAGATATAATTCTGACTGATGAGGGAAGACATGGTGAGTTCATCTAACTGCTGGAAACTGAAACACTTGAAAATGAGTGTCTACTGCTCTTTGAGTTAGAAGTATTTATAACATTCACTACAAGATGAGCTAAATTTATCGTTAAACCAAATAAGTTACTTACAAGAACCAGACTAAAGTTTTTATTTAAATAGATCTCTTTTTGACAAAGTCTTAGAAGAATCTTTAGAGGTTACTTAATTGTTCGCCTAAAATCCCACAAAGGAATTACCTTATCGGAATCGTTATTCTGGAGTGGCAGTCAGTTTTTGTTCTATCTGATCCATCTCAAATTTCAAACCTGTGTTATCGGTTAAACGAGATACAATGTTTAGTGTTGGCATGTGTGAACGATACCGAGAAGTAGGACTGTTCCCATTTTTTTATGTCTTGTTATTATTATTTAGCGAGGACTTTGTGCTCGGATCCGCTTAACTATTTTCATCTCCAGTTATGTTATAGCTCTCCTCAGTTGGTAGATCAGGTGAGGTAGCTTCAATCAGACTTATCCTTATGCACGTTTTGTCATCGTCTAAAAGTAGATGTTAAATTGGCTCAACCATCATAATTCTAATTGGTTATGAGTGTATTAAATATTATTTCTATTCATCTCATTCATTTTCAAAATTAATAAATTTGCTACTATATCTATATTCGACTAAAATTATTTTTCTCTTTAATTTATCAACTTCTAGCAAGTCTTTTAAAAAAATGCTATCCGGGGTTTTGGGGTTTTGGGGTTTTGGGG